TGAACTCAGGGCCTATATATATATATATATGTATTCACTTTTATAGGACACTTTGAATCAAAACAGAAAACAAAAAATTCAAGTAAAAAGTAAATCAAATAAATAAAAATGATTGACTGAAAAGTGACTTTTTTAAAGCTGTAAAATAATAACTTTTAATTGATACTGAACTTTTAGTCGCTAAGTAAAAACACACATTACAATACTGCGCAAAGTGTTATACAGTCTTTGTTTTCTGATTATTTTAAAGAAAATTGATTTCATTGTTCCATTTAAGTTTCTTAAAGTAAAAACTTAAAACTTTATGCAACTGTATTTTTGTTGAGAAAAAAATATTGATAATTAGTCAACGAGTTAACTAAATTTATACAACTCTTTGTTTTATACCGCTGTTATTATAATTGTAACGGTGTCACTGTAATTAAAGGTAATGCTGTTATAATAATGGTAACATTGTCGTAATAAATTTAAACCATATTTCAGAGAAACACAGGAAGCAATTGGAGTACAGATATCAAAGCAGCATATTATAGCAAAGGAATGATTTCTATGTACAATCGTGCCATGTTTCATCTTTGTGATGTAAGTTATCTAGAATATTTCATGAAAGCAGTTTATATTAGATCTATCAGAAAAAATTCTCACCACGACAGAACACACTCCGTTATACAAAAACATGCAAAAGGTTCCTTTATAAAAAAAATTCAGCAAGGCATTTACCTTTAAATGTACATATATCAAATGTACATTTAAAGGTAATTTCTCATATTATATTATATATATATATATATATCATGTATCACTTAGTTTTGTCGGACACTTTCGTTACAAGTTTGAATTATGTGGGTGATTCTTTGGAAACACAACAATTCGGACCAAAACATTTCTTCAAATTGAAAGTCTTTAATATATTCGAATTTTTTTATACTTCTTTAGTTATTAATATCTTACATTTATTAATATCTTCAGACAGCAGAGTAGTTTATTGACATTTTATCAAGGGAAAAAAAATATAAATTCACCAAATCTTGAATGCCAGGAAAATGACATATTAGTTTAAAAGTTTAAAAAACAGTAATTTTAAGTTAATAGTAAGTAACTCAACTTAAGCCTTTATGTTAGATGGACCATAAATTGCTTAAATTAATTCTTTTTATCCCCTGTAGAAAGAAACAAAAAAATTTTTGTTGCTGATATGTACAGAATAAAATTGAGTATGATAATCAATCATTAAATAAATAAATAACTTTGATTACATCCAAGCATATTGTAAACTTGGTATTAGGTTAATATTTGCTTTCCCTCTTTACAATATACTGTTTAAAATGTTTTCTGGTAACACGTCATTGTCCTTTCATTCATAAGCCGGGAAAAGGACAAACTTTCCATTTTATAGCATTTAACTTTAATTTAACACTTCGGCCTAAGACGTTTACAATCCGCAGAAAACAGCAGGATTTCGTTAAATAACGCAGATAAATTTATGTAGTTTATGTTATTAATGATTTCAAGAAGACAGGAAAATGACAACATAAAAACCTACTCACCTTGAAAATATTTTTGAAACAGATTTTGTACCAGAAAGTTGGTTCTTTATTCATGCAACAAGACATGTTCAGATAGGATGGTATCTTATCAATCTATTAACATAAGATATTGATTGCTGGCTCTATCTATTTTGGTTATAAATTACTAAATAAAAGTAGCTAGGAAAGTGACAGATTTTCATGTGACAAACAAATTATTGACAGAAAAAATTATTTTAGACGAAGTTTTAGTAAATAATACCCTCTGCGTATATTCTAGAAATGCTTACAACGGTTGAGATGAAAAAAATTAGATATTTAAAAATTTTTGCGAAGTTTTGAAGCTAGTCATTATTGGAAATATTGTTTGTGACATGCCGGAAACTCAATTAAATTTCTTAACTATACAAAACAGTCAATGATAGTAAAAAGTCATTTCAAAATGCCAACAGCAATGTTAGTTATTATTTTTTTTTCCAGAAAAGTTCTTTTAGTATTATAGTATTAGATCTTGGAGTAAGGGACAGTGAATTGTCATATTTCCTGAGAATCACCCATGTATGCACATGCTGTTTCGCGCCATATATATATGTGTCTTTAAGCGAGAACATTACCATTGATTAAAAAGGTAATTCTCCTACCACTTTCTCTTATGAAAGAGCCTTTTGCATTACTGTAAAAAGAGGCGTGTATTTTCAAGAACAGAACTTTTCAGTAGGCCTAATACTTCATACGAATATAGAACTCTAACCTTAAACAAGATATTCGCGTCCAACAATAATAAGTCAAAAAGTTCTATGTCTTATTCAAAAATTGATAATTTATTTTATAATAACTAAAGTGAAAGTTAATCGAAGAATCTATCCTTTTATTTTATGTATAAATGTTACCATTATCTAATATTTGGTCTGCAGTTTTAATAATGTGAATGGAGGTGTTAATCGGGGCTTCGAAAGGAATGAGTACTAGAAAAATCGCCTAATTGTGGTACATTTTGATCATCATGAATTAACTTTGAGCCATAACATCAAAACATACTAAATGTAGTTAATTGTTATTTTGATGAAATAAACTACTAAAAACGAGTTTTGCCTAATATATTAACGTAAAGCCACCGGCAAGTATAGAAAACAATAGTTATTAAAAAAACGGTATTTTTTTAGCCTTGTTTATTAACTCAAGTACACTGGTGGACAAAATTAAGAGATGGAAGACATTTTCCCAAATATCTCAAAAAATACTGAATATAAATAAATGAAATTTGGTATGGATATAGCTTATTCCATGATAATAAAGTATGCAAAACAAAAATGAAAGTGCCATTCACTGGCAAGACCTATTGCCAATAAATCCAATGTAGTCTGAACTTAAGGATAAAAGATGACAATAAAAGTGAGGCTTGTACAGTGTGTGTTGCCTCTAGTATGGTGTATGGTCACCCCTGACAGACAGACAGCATGCACAACGAGTATGCATGCTGTTAATAAGGGAGTTAAGGAGGACTTGTGGAAGACCCTCCCATTCTTCCACCAGAGCAATTTTTAACTCCAGAATGGTTCTGGGGGGAGGTTGGCGCATCGCAATAGCTCTCCCAAGAGCATCCCAAGCATGTTCAATAGCATTCAGGTCAGGGGATTTGGCTGTCCAATCCATTCGTTGAATATCCTCGCTTTCCAGATACTCATCAACCATGAGAGCCCTATGTGGTCGCGCATTGTCGTCCATAAAAATGAACTCAGGGCCAACAGCGCCCCTGAAAAGACGCACATAGTGCTCTAGGACCTCCTGTCTGTACCTCTCGGAATTCACGGAACCATTGTCAAACACATGGAGCGGTGTGCGGGTATCTTGCATGAGCAAATGAATGTGCGAAAATGCTTTCCATCTCTTAATTTTGTCCATCAGTGTAGCTCAGAGATATTGTAACAGCCTTAATATATATTAACCGACATTGTCAATATCGGAGGAAATCGACACCGACACTGTATGTATGATATTGTACGATTCCCATTTGATGTTGCGTAAAACTCTATGAAACTTGTCATTTTGATCTTTATTAAGTTTTAAATCAAAATTAGTCATTTATTTTAACAAATAACGTAATTTTGGTGATTGCCAGCATTCGTTTACTGAATATCGGGTTAGCAATGTCAGCTGATTGACATTCCACAACATATTTACAATATCGAATAATATATTTTTGCTATATTGAAGATTTACGTTATTATAGGGGTCCATTTTTATATTGTACAATATTTCGCTTCGATATCATACAATGTTCAAGCTGCGTTTTTACGATATCGTTTTTGAGATATGTGCTACTTGGGAAGTTGATATAAGTCTTTAAGTTTTGTTGCGCTGCTCAATACTGATTTATTGATAGTTTAGTTTTTTTCATACTGTATGGAGTACGGATATTCAGCTAGTTAATAAATCTAATTTAGAATTTTAGTTAAACTTTGATGCATTTAAAGTTGCACCTAGTTGATATTTTTCGTTTTATCATTTTTCTTCTTCAAGTTCTACGAAAAGAGATTTTCTGATGAACAGATGATGAAAATAGCGAGCATCGGTACGTTTGGCCATGTATTAGAAGTTTCAGATTTTATTCACATAGTTGATGACAGGTTTGGAAAACCCAAGACAGACGCTTTAACAAGTCTAAAGGAGCTTTTACAACTCCGTAGGGTGAGTAGACCCGGTGGAACAGAAATAATGAATTTGCTGTAATTTTGTTTGCCACCATTCTTATTTATGAAATTTCTGTTTTTATTGTTAGCTACTATTTGGATACGAAAAATATTTTAAAAAAGCAGCGAGAAAGTATGAGAATTACAGAATTCCAACTGAAAATTATAACACGTCTCAAGAATTGTTTGATGCCTTATTGCATGCGTGTACCGAAATTACTGATGTGAGTCAATTATACTTATATTTTTTTAATGAATTATTTGAATACAGAATATATTTGAAACATATGTATGTAACCTTAGGTAATTAAAACTATTTTTATCCAAAATACTGGTAAAAATGTATTATCATTTGTAATTTCGCGTTTTCACTACAAAAATTAGAAGAAGTGCTTAATTAAAGTTTATTACGGCTGTGAGTGAGGATTGACCTATCATTTAACATTTGAATTATTTGAAAAAAATATTTTTTGTTGTGTTATTGAATTAAAGGAAATTTTTAAAAAAAAATTTACTAAGGAATTTTTATAAAATTTTTATTAGACTTTAGAACGTGATTCCTAGCTCCTTTCACTTGTCATATGGAGCTGGAAACATAGGCCGAGCATCGTTGGTAATTAAATTAGCGTAAATGATTCCTAGGTTGTCTTGCTTTTTATATATCTGCTTTATTTATTTATATGTGGAGATGGACTAAATTCTTTTGATTCTAATTTACTAAAATACTGTTGCTTTACTAAAATATTACTAAAATATTTACTAAAATATTGTTACTCGAAAAAATGTTTTTTTTTTTTTTTTGAGATNTTTTTTTTTTTTTTTTTTTTTTTTTTTTTTTTTTTTTGAGATTACTAAACTTTTGAAGAATTTGGATTGTATGCTCTTACGAAAGAGTAAGAATTCATTGTGACTCTTGCCTGGCCTTCAGAAATAGGGCTACCACAGGCGACTAAAAATGTAAGAAGTCCTAGAAACTGAATCTACTTTTATATATTTAATCTATTAAATTATTCGCCTGGTTGGCAAGACTCTGATCTCACGTTCGTGAATATGGGAGTTCGAATCCAGGCTCCCCGGGTTGTAAATGGTGACTGGTGCATGTAACATTTGTCGAGTCACAAAGTCCTCTATGTTCCCATAACAATTTATACTTCTGGGGGTGCATGAATGGGTCCGCCCTATAAAAAAGGGTGTGACGAATGTGTGAATCAGAAGTAGAATTCTTGGCCATAGAGGGCGCCACTGAAAACAAGAGCGTAACTCACCCTCTCTGCTTAATGGCCGAGGACAACAAAATTAAATTATTTAATCGTAACCACCATAACTTATCTTTCATTGATATTGATGTTTGAAACGAAAACTCATTATCAATATCAATAGTAAACCAGATAGCATTCATTATCAATAGTAAAGAGATCGCAGCTTGCTCCGATTTGTAGAAACGTATTTTCTAGCGGTAACGTCATTTAAGTTATTTTTAGTATAGTATTTGTCATTTTCATTGATCATTACCGATTTATTGATTATTTAATTTTATTTCAAAAAGAAAAACAAATATGTAACAATAGCAGGTAACAGTAATACTAAACTGAATAAGTTGCCTAAGCACTAAATAATATTTATTTTCAACGTTACTTTATTTTGAAAAAAAAATTTAATTTTTTATTTGGGCAGTGCGTTTAAACACAAACTAAGCGAACCAGAAGCAAAAAAAATGTATGATTAAGCTGTTTATTTTCTCTTGTACTTTTTAATTATTGATTCGTAAAAAAACATTAATTCCTTTTTAATGCATGGAAGCTGTTGTTTCAAGTTTTTCATTTTCACCAAATTTTTTCCCCTTGCCATAGCGTTCGATGCCAAAAAAGAGATTTTCTAGGGTTGTTTCTTGACTACATGTCGCCACGTCACTCATCCACTACTATCCTCTGAATATTCAAATAATGTTGTTTAACCTGTTCGTCCACTGAATATCTTCGGCATAAATAGATTTAGCAATATTAATGAATGTTATATATTTAAATAGAATTAAAATAAGAACTTTCCTGAGAAATCTCAATTTTTTTTAAAAATGTCACTTACCCAGTTCTTCCACTAAGCTTTTCAAATAAGCATTTTTAAAAAAAATATGTAAATGTGACCTATTTGTTAATTTATTTTATTTAGCTCTTAAATGTCTAAGTAGTTTAATTTTTAGAAAATGTTTCAACTTTAATTGTTGTTTTACTGCCACGTTGTAAAATCTTTTTCAGCTACTGTACTTGTTGGCCGGTATGCACCTTCATTGCAGTTATCTTTTGGTGACTCTTTTAAAGAAAAGGCGTCATTATCCTTATTCTGCAACTATTATCACCTAATTTCCTACTAACTATTAAAAACTTTTGCAGAAAGCGGAGTAGTTGGTATCCCTTATATATTTAGTTTAACTGGTGAGATGAAAGAAATATGCAAGTTAGAGTTGCTAAGTTTAAAGTTTTGAAATGGATTTTTAGTTTTTATTAGCCACCACTTTTAACAATTTTATTTGCCTGTGGTATTTGCTTGCAGAAGGTCATACTCTATATTGGCACGTTGATTGCTATGGGGGTCACCGGTGACCGGCACTGAGTTTGTTCGAAGCGCCAAGGGGGTTACTGGTGACCGGCGAAGCCAAGATTATTAGAAGCACATAACTTAGTAACTGAACTTAGTAACTGGACTTTTAAACTTAGTAACTGAATGGACTGAAACTGAATTAAATGTATAGATGTTATAATTTGTTTTCTTTAAACTTCTTTTAGACTATGACTGTTCATATAAAAAATAGCGAAGCATCTTCTATTTGGAATGTGTTCATTTTGAATGCTTTAATAAAATATCGAGGAGGTAAGTTTTCTTTATGTTTCGTATGTTATTAAGTTTTTAGAATTGCAATATGATGATACACTGGGCATGTTAAAGTAGTTTGTTACTGGGCATGCACACTGGATACACTGGGCATGTTAAATTGTTTTTGGTTTGTTGCTCGTTCTTTTTAAAAGTAGTTTGTATTTTGAACCAAAAAATATTTTAAACACTGAAATGTAGCTTTTGGAGAAAAAAAACTCAGTTTAAACTTGTTTTAAAATGAATATGTTACCACTATACACATATTGGGCTAATATCTAACCTGCATAATCATGCAAACTGAGAATTAAAGGATCAAAATTTTATTTTTGTAAACACAATTAATCCATTTATTAATTCAATAGTTTCAAATGATGGAAGATTGCTACCACTTTTTACCATCGGTTCCTAAAATGCTGATGGGTTATTTTTCATACTGATGGGAATAGTTCTGCTCGAATTAATAATGCTTTCAGCTGCAACATAACTAGAAAGAAATGTATTTTGTCAGATTTTTTTTTGTGCAAATAATTTTGTTGTTTACTATTTTACTATTAGAAACACATACTACTATACGAGACTTATAATATGTTTACTATTGGAGATATGTAATTAGCCAAGTGAAATATAAATGGTTATATTTTATACTGATGGGGATAATTTTTTGCCCGGATTAATGTTTTCTTCTCCAAAGTATATCTAGAAAGAAGTATGTTATCATTTTTACAAACATTTTTGTTGTTTATTATTTTATTATAAGAGAAACTTACTACTGTTAGAGACACATAATATGTTTATTATTAGAGATATGTAATTAGCCAACTGAGATATAAAACAAACATCTTTTTAGAAATTAATGCTGACGTATATCGGGATTTTTCGGAGCTGATGAGAATAAGTAGTGAAGTTGTAAGTGCTGATGTTCCAGCGGCTATAGAAGTAAGTATTTTCAAACAATATTATATGGGTAAATTTGTTGTCGTACACTTTTTCAATATTAACGTGCAATTTAAAACACAAAAGAAATGTGCAAAATATGTTCAGAATAAAAACAAATTTAACAAATGCAGAATGCATAAAATAAAAAATGGACCATCCAGATTAACCTTTGATCTAATGGTTGGATTTTCGCTCTCTAAAACTCAATCTTAGAGGTTTGAGGGGTTGACCTCAAATATGCTAATTAAAGACTGCAGACGGTATTTTAAGTTGCGAAATCAGACACAAAAACGTACTTTCTCTGAATTAACATACCTTTTTTTCAACGAATTTGAATTTCTGATCCCCAAAATATAGAGAGTATCCGCAATCTGGAAAATATGGTCCCCATATTTTAGTCAGGAGTGCTTGCCAAAGTTTGGTCTTCCTAATGTTAATTTTATTTTTTTGCGTTTTTCTCCATATCTCGAGAATTTCTTAAGCGAATTTAAAAAAGTTTGCACACAATTATTAAATTCGTTTATCCGGAAAAAAAAATTCCGTTCAAAATATAACTTATAACAAATATTTACTGTTTTTCATGAAATAATAGTTGAAAAATTTATGAATTCCACATGGATGCCAACTACTCAGCATTTGACGAAATATTTTAAAAAACGGTAGAGAACCACAAACTAAAATTTGCTGATTTTTGGCTAATAAACAGCAACTAAGTGGTGTATCACATAAGCCTTTGAATTATTTAGAAGTAGGGCTGATTAAAAACCCTGTAAATCGAATTTATGAAACCAAGAGTCACACTAAAAGCCTAAAATATTAATCACCTGTACGGAGCAAATTAGCCTCTCTGATTGTAAAGGTATAAATTTTCTTTCGTCATTTTAAGGGATGTAATATTTAAATGGCAAAGAACAAATTTTGAGCGAAATTGATCGAATAGTTCCTGAGATATCGAATTTTAAAAATACGGTTTCTTTAAACTTCGGATTTTCAGGAACTATTCGATCGATTTTGCTTAAGTTTTGTATTTTGTCACCTAAAATTGAATTCAGTTCGTTAAAATGGAATAAGACATCGCATAACTTACAATTCGAAATGTTTTCCGACTGTTATTAAATAGAATAATAAAAAAAAAAAACACTAAAAAATTGTTAAAAGTGATATCTTGCATGAAATTATCTTTGGATAAGTGAATTTTATAATTGTGGGCGAAAATTTTTCAATTCTTTTAAAAAGTTTTCAAGACTTGTCTAAATACGAAAAAAGAAAAAATAACATTAAGGGATCCAGACTTTTGGACTGGTCTTTCGGCCAAGCTAAGTGGGTCATATTTCACAGCTTGTGGCTACTTCCTTTATTTTGGGGTTAAAAATCCAAACCCGTGGGAAAAAAGATAAGTTTATACAGAAAAAGTACGTTTTCGTGTTTAGCTTCGTTACTTAAACGATCGTCAGCACTAATTAATTAGCATATCGAATCATTAAGATTGAATCCTAGAACGTGTAGATCCGATCATTCGATCAAAAGTTATTTAGGGTGGCCCGGTTTTTACTTTGCACACTGTACAATTTCCGAAATAGTTTTCAGCTCAGGGGGTAGAGCTCTCGCCTTTAATTGAGATGACATGGGTTCGAATCTCATTGATGACTGTTCGATACGAATTCCACTCCCGGCTAGCACCGACTACTGTGTGGTCGTAAAGTGACCCTCAGTGGTCGACGAATCATGGGTTAGCGACACCTTTCGGTCAAGATAACCGTTTAAGGTTTTCCTATTTATGTAATGAAAATGCAGGTTAGTTCCACCAAAAAAAGTCACCCACCAAGTTCAATTTCTTCCAATACTTGATCCAGTAGTTCCTTTGTCTACTGGATCTTCTCGGAAATTACAAGGCTACGGAGTTGTACATTGGTAGTCGTAAACTTAAAATTGGGTAGGTTGTTCAACGACGGTTATAAAATAAAATAAAACCATAAATTTTTTTAGTGATGTCTTTCTTTTTATTCTCAAGAAATTGCAGTTTTGGAATTGAACATTGAGAGACTTTTTATACCTATAACTTTTCTAATTAAATTATAAATCTATTGTATTTTTACTATGCATCGTTTCGAGATTCATATGCAAACAAAATATGTCTTTTTTTGTCTCTATTGTATGTCGTTTGACTCGGTTAAGGTTCAAACGAAATTGTTGACTTAAAGTTTAGTATGATTCTACCGAACATGATAAACTCACCTCTTTAGATTTAAAACAAGACACAGCCAGAATTTTTTTTATAAACTTCACACACTTCTAAAATTTTGCAGGAATTGGCTAGTTACATTGAGAAAGAAATACAGCCAGAGGATTTCAAGAGTAAATCAGTAAAGGTACTTTTTAGTTATCATTTTGACAATAAAACAAATTTTAAGATTCAACTAGCTACTTTAAACTATAATTTTTTTCCAGGATATTCTAGAATGGTTGGATCGATCTGAAACAATGGCAGGTGCAAAATACAGAGAGTTTTTGACAAAACATGGACACAGATGTTTGAGAGAGGTACGTTCGTTTGTTGCAGTGGAACTGGGCATCTGAGGCCTTATGGCCCTTTTCCCATTCATATTGAAATTAGCCTAAGAAATATACACGACAAAAATAAAGTTTGGGGACCCAAATGGAGTTCGTGAGAGAAAAAAAATGGCACTTTGCGATTATTAGGTAATAACAAAATTACCAGTAATAAAAAAGTACATGAAAAAGGTTAAATTAAAGAATGAATATTTACAGTATTTACAGTTTGGGAATACATACAAAAGGGGGGCGAGTTAAAGGAATATGAAGATGTGTGTATGTGTATAAGTAAGTGTGGCTCTGTTAAAGTAGAGACCAGGACGTCTTGGTAATTATCACTCGTGCCGGGTTGCTCTCTACACTTAAGTCACAGGGATTAGCTTACCCCTGATCAGATTCCGAGGGTTTGCTCTTTCACAGGGATAAGCTGAATCTGAGAGTGAATAATTCAGAGAGTGTTCGTGTTGTTAAGTGTTAGTGTGATACCAGAAGTGTAGGAGTGTGCTGAGGGTCTAAGCTTTGCATCCTCTTTGAGATTTATGCAGTCGAAAATATCATTAAAATTTGCGGTTTTGCAGAAATTTGAAGATTTAGGTGTCGGTTTTTCGTTTATTCCTTGTTATTTCTGAAAGAAAATCGGTAGTTAAAAAACGAAAAGTAAAAACATGAAAGTTTCGAAAAATATTTTGAAAAATTACAATAGTTTACTACTTAAAGAATCAAAACTACAAATTTTCACAATTTATTTATTTATTTTTTTTTTAAATTTGTGACCATGAAAATTTTTAATTTACATCGTTTTTTTTAGTTTGATATGCGAACAAAGCCATGGAGAGAGGACCGCAATTCTTTGATTAACCTGTTAAAAGTAAGTCATTTTTTTAACAAATAGTATTTAATGTGATAAGTGATATATAATTATGGGCCAACAAGCATCAGAACTTGCATCAGAGAGGTTCTGGGTCCAAATCCCGGACCACATACCATGCCACAAGCACTTCCTAAAATTTTCTTAAGGCGGTAAGTATATTATGAAAAATATGAGTTTTTTAAGTATTGATATCTGCAATTGTTTTCGAAATTTCTTTTATCGTTGTGTGAAAACTTCGAAATTGACTTTATAAAAAATAATTAGAAGCTAACTTTAAGAAATTTTAAGCAGTTTTGAGGAAAGTTCGTCACCACTCTTTTATTTTCTACAAGACTAGGTTGTAGGTATCCTGTACTTGGTGATGTATCCTAATATATACATTGGGTCTGAAGAAGTTATAAAAATACTACTTACATAAATGTAAATTTCCTACCACCACTAGACTCGAAGGAACCCTAAAAATACAATATTTTTAAGTGTATAGGTTCCGATTTTTAGGTCATTCCAACGCACTAATGGTCCATTAAAAATATTGAAGTGGTTGTAATGATGATCACTTATGTTGGTTACCACCTTAAAATATTGTGGCTTATGATGGAGCCACTAGATGGTTGCCTTCATAATTATGCTGGCCTATAAATGGCAAACTATTTAAAATTTTGACTAGGGAAACTAGTCATTTAAGCAAATGTAAGTATTTCTGATTTAGCACTCACTTAAATTTAAATACATTTAGCCTTGTTGATGTAGAATTTTTAATGAGCATTTCAATTTAAAGGATTACAGTGCGAATCAGGAACGTTTTATGATAAACTTGCTAAAAGAAGAAATGAATTTTATGATAAAAATTTTGCTATCTTTAAAATAATTTTGACCACTAGGATCCATTTGTGTATATGTTTCCATAAAAGCCATAAGTCTAGTAAGTCTTAGGTCTCACTGGTAAAACCTCAGATTAACCAAAGTGGCTTGGCAAAAATCCGAAGTATGCTTTAATATGAATCCATTTAGGACTTTTACCAAGTTTTTGCTATAAAATCTAGGAGTTACCAATGCTTTCTGGTAAAAGTCCGAAACGAGAGATTATTTATGATATGATTTTTCATTCGCCTATACATAATGGGTACTGTTAAGTTAAAGGAAGCTTAAAAAGTCACCAAATCTTGATAATCGAATTCGAAGACTCGAAGGCAACCCTTCATCTTTACAGTTAGCCATGTTACCATGAAGTGACATTTTGTCTTAGAAAAACCAGTGTAGGTAATAGTAGGAAATGTATATGCATTGGCCCTTAACTTAAAAAAAATAATCATTATATGCTATACATGGGGTGTGCCACTCAACTTTAAAAAAGACCAATGCAGGGTATGCAAGAGATATAGCATTTAACCTTCGAAAAACATCAGAGAAGTGTATGTCGGGAAATGGCATACAAACATATAAAGCGTCAATGTAAAGTATACCTGGTAGTGGCACTTAACATTATCCTTAGTAAAACAACAGAATAGATCAGTATAGGGTAAACCCAGCAATGGTACTCACACCTCTTGATTAAACAGATAATTAAAAATGAAAAATTGATTGATAATTATTATGTTTGGTTTTTGATTTGACGAAGAAAATTTAACTACCTTTAACGGCCTCCTTTAACCCCTTGGGGACGGGTGATTTATAAAAGCATTCGTACAAAATCAGAATCAGGATGTAAATAAATAAAAAACAGTAACTTAAATGTCGTCATTGCTAATTTGACAGACTTAATTTGCTTTTACTTTAATTACTGTTAGTTTAATCGCAGATATAATCAATGTTAGTTCAAAGTATAACTAAATAATTTTGTTTTGAACTACGTAATGGTGAATTAAATAAATCAAGCAAATATAACCCCGCCCACAAATAAATTGCTAAGGAACTACTTTGGTTACCAGTTTTATCTTTTTGCCCTGATTGATACGGTTTTATGCTGGCACGTATTTGTGACAGTCGGCGTGAAAGGGTTAACAGAAGAGGGCCATATATTATATACAGTGTGTCTCTGAGTGGTTTAAAAATACTTTATTCTTAATTGAAAAATAAGTTGTGAAAGCAATAAAAACAATGTACGATGATTTAGGATAATATCGATGGAACTGTTTTATAATTACTTTTTAAGAAATTACAAAAATTTAAAAAAAAACAATGCAATTTTTGGCAACAGTAAAAAATGTCTCGTTTCAGACTAAAAATGGAAGGCGTTGGTTATTCCTAAGTTTTACGCAATATCTTGGAAAAAGTCGAGGAACGGAAAGGAAATCATGAAACATACTTCGAACTATTAACAAACCCTAAGTTTTACCGGCAAAACCCCGGACTTACCAGATTTCGGGCTTTTGCACAAACATATAAGTCGTCTTCCTATTCAAAAACTCAAAATGAATAATTTGAAATATTTCTGTTTATTAAATTTTTTGCTTATTCTATTTGAAAATTAAATTTTTTATGTTCCTCTTTAGATTATTTATATGAAGCATAGTGGTGAAAAGAATTCTTTTAATTTAAATTCATTGAAATATTTATGCATAAACTTTTATCAACTTATGATAAAAGTTTGAATTTTATTAGCTTCCACTTTCTACATTTTTAGTCGTACGTAGCAACCCAGTAATATTCTCATCAAGTTTTTTTTGGTCATAGAATTATTTAAATACCGTGGTAATTAGTGTTATAATTTAAAATCTTGAAATAATACATTTTTGTTACCACTTAGAACTTCTTAAAAGAAATCTGTGCTAAATGCATACCTGCCAACTTTTAATCCCTTCCATTATGATTTTTTCCAGTGGTATTAAAATGGAATTAAAATTTAAATTTTAAGCCAAAAAATACGTTGTATTTGAAAAAGCTTAAGCTGACAACCATGATAACAACACATATCAATATATATGCTTAATTTTTTTAAGTATAGTGGTGATCAAAATCATTTAAAAATTAAGTTTATAACAGAAAAAAAAGTATATATTTACTACCACTTCAAATATTAAAAAGAAATTTTACGCCAAATGCGTAAAAGTTGGCAGGTATGTAAATGCAAAATTTCCAGCTCGGCTTTGTTATTAGGTTTTATTTATGCAAATAACGAAATAGTAAAATTATAAGTTTTTTTCATTTAATTTTTTATAAGTTTAAATTGTCTTTAAAAATTTGAGATTGTGAAAAGGAAAATTAAATATATTTTTCTTCCTCTTATTGACAGAGTTTAGTCGGGAAACCTGAAAAAGTTTCGAATAAGAAAAAAAGTTTTGAGGAAAAGCTTTCATCCTTGAGCCTTTCATTGGGTTTTGCAAACAAGTAAGTTTAAGCTGAAAATGCATAAACTAGCTAAGAACCTTGAGAAAATATTAAAAAAATTTAAAAGAATATAAAAATGGCTAGATAAAAAATCCATTCTTGTAACTTTATATACAAGGGGTGATCAAATGAAAAGGTACGAAACGACACGGTAGGTACAAATATGAACTTTATTCAAAATATACACCATAGGCCTGAGCACAAGGATCCTACTGATGAACAAGCCGCAGGATTCCATGTTCCCAGAATTCCTGAAGCCGTGACGAGGTTTAGTTCTTCACAGCGTCCTTGAGTATGTCGTCCGAGTTGAAGCGCTTCCCTTTCAAGTGTTTCTTCAGTGGACCAAACACATGGAAATCGCAGGGCGACATGTCCGAACTGTAGGGTGGATGGTTTAACGTCTCCCACTTGAACTTTGCCAGTTCCGTGTGTGTGACTCTGGAGACGTGTGGACGCGCGTTATCATGGAGCAGAACCACACCCTCCATGAGCAGCCCCGGTCTGTCACCATCCGGCGATGAATATCTGCCCGTTTCTCACGTTCCGCTGTCAGAAATCGGATAACACCTCGCTGCTCCTCAATCGTCGAATTTTGCAACGTGAACGCCATCCTGTCCTCATACGAACTGTCGTATCATTTGAGGAAAAGCTTTCTCAATGAAAGATCATTGAGAAATGCGCCGCGTTTGATAAGAGTCTCTGCTCTCTCCTGCTCACGCGGGCCCCCGCGCATGCTCCGATCCCAGTCAGAGACTTCAATCGCATCCCGAGATGTCTCGCTACGTTCTCCCATAGCGGAATATGCAAATATTTAACTGTTACGTATTTACGTCGTTTCGTACCTTTTCATTTGATCACCCCTTGTATATA